TCTCTCTCTCTCTCTCTCTCTCGCATTAATATTTACCCATATTTAGCAAAATTAGTCCACATTTTCATTAAGTCTGCGCTAAATATAGCGTCGATATCGCTATAAGCGTCGGGTATTAGATAAGGCAACCCATAGACAAATGATGTTTCAGCGACGTGACAGACACCCATACCCTCAACATCACAACCATATTGATGGGCGAAATGCTTATTTTGATAACTGATCTGGTAGAAATATACATTATGACCAGGTTGTTTATTTATGGCAGCTTGTTTAGCAAACAGATATGTCGGACATTTCATTATTATATCGCCGTATAATTCATAAAACGCTTTCTTGAGCTCAAGTGAACTGTTTTTGTCGACATTTTGTAGATAATAGTCGTCCACACGTTTCACATCCAATCCGTGGTAAACACTGTCCGATACTTTTGTTGCCTCAATCAAGTCATTCAAAGTTAATTTGTCTTTTAAATGTATCGCATAAATAGCTAACATTGAGCCCTCAGTACTGGCAATGCCGGCCATTATATCCACATCTATTGAATTTCATGAATTAATTTATAAATTATGAAATATTACATTATATTAGTGTTGTTTTAGAAATTTATTTAATAATCCATAATAAATCCAAACCTGAATTATATTTTTTGTTTGCAAATGCCTTTTGGGCAGAAATGGGCAGAAATTCAGTGCCCAATACGGGATATGTCATCGGAACTACATATTTGTTAAACACATTTGCATCCAATCCTCGCAAACATTGCAACCAATCCTCACTTTCGCTGCAATTTTGCTCTTTTGCTATCCGTTTGCCTAAAGATATTGACTCCTCTTTACTGATGATATCCCTATCCTTGTTATACAAATGGGCGCCGCTCTCCATAATAGCCCTCTTGAATAGGCCTTTAGATAGCGGGGAGAGTATGTGTGCGGACACCGACCAACTCCCGGCGCTCTCACCCAATATCGTGATCTCATCCCTATCTCCGCCAAACTGTTCAGCATTTTCTCTGACCTATGATTTAATAATTAATATGTCATAAATTCATTTATAGTTTTAATAATTTATAAACTTTACAAAAATATAAGTAATAAATTGATACCCATTTGAGAGCTAATAACTGGTCATAAAAGCCGACATTTCCGGGCGCGTCCTCCCGATCCCCGTATAGAAAGCCCAACTGTCCTAATCTATAAGCTGCTGAGGCGTAAACCACACCTCGTGTGGCCAACACATTACTATCCAGTCCATTAAATATCGAGCCCCCAGATAACCCGCCGCCGTGTATGTGAAACATAATGGGTTTGAGCTGTGATTTGTTTGTGTTATTATTGCCCGCATTTGGTGTCCATATGTTTAATACCAAACAGTCCTCACTTGCGTTTACATTTGGGGAGAATGGCGACACATTTTGAATGCACACGTTTTTAGGTTTAGTCGCATCGATAATATCCTTAACCATAATCAATATTAGTTTTATTTTAAATAATATCACAATATGTTTACTATTTTACCGGTTTTGGTGTTTTGATGGGTTCAGGTTTGGCGAACCGGAGTCTCCCGACGGGTGGTTCGGCATAAGGTATACCCAAAAACTGGTCAATACTTACGTTCAACACATCTATCGTCTGACCCCTCACTACACCCGATGTTGTCTTCACATCAATACATGCTATGAATTCAACACAAATATATAAAATAAATAATAATTTCCAAATATATTTTAATTCTCTCCACATTATAATAGCTTATACAATAATGTATTATAATTATTAATTAATAATACTTGTAATAATAAACTTTTATATTGATTAAACCATGCTTTTCAATTGTTTATATACTTGTGCAAAAGTAAATCAAGTATTTTAGGTGAATCCGACTTAAACTTTGATCTCCATACTAATAAAGCACTTAAAACATAATTAGTACACATATAATCTAATCATGTAATAAATAGTTCAATAATAATACAGGTCTATTATTATGTTATGTCAACTAAACAAGTTTATATTTTAAAATTTTAATGTATATGGTCTTTTGGTTTACAATACAGTAGTTAATAATCTATATTTGGAGTTATTTTATAATAATATTAGTCATTACATCTTGTTAAACTGTTGTGAGATATAGAAATTAATTGTTTTGTGTTATTATTTTATATTTACAATTATATTAATAGTGCAGAATTAGTGTAACTTGTTATACTGATATGATTCTTTTCTAAATATAAATTAGGTCATTTAATAAATGACATTGAAATAATAAGTAAAGTAACTTTACAATTTATTATCTAATACTGTGTATAATTAATACAGCAATTGTACTTGGTAACATTAATGCACTCATAATTAATTTCTTTGTCCACTTAAATAATTAACCAGAATAAGTACATTATATTATAATAAGTGTATTATATTGGTATTTATTGTTTATTTAATAAGCCAATAAAAATTAATTGATATCATAATTACATGAATTTGTATTATTGCAATATATGTTTGGCACACTGTACCCTTTATGTTAAATATAATTATATTTAATTATAATGTTACATATCTATTAATTATCAATTAAATTAGACAATTATGTTTATATTAAAGTCAGATAGTTTATTTGTGGTTACATTAACATGGAACATTAGCTATCTTTCCTACGTCTCGTTGGCCATCGGTTTGAACCTAGGGTGCACATAAAAAGTTTCTATGTTTATATTATTTTTAATCCAACGACTTAATTCATAGTAATAGTTGGTGCTGGTGTTCTGGTAATATCAGCATGGTCAATACAGGCACTACCCGTCCACATCTGTTTATCAATACAACCGCACGTATAGTTGTATTGGTTATACTTCGGTGTCGGTAAACATAGCTGCGAACACAGATGGATTGCGCACCGATTAGTGGCCATCGGTTGCCGGGATTTATGCACAACTTTCAAACCGGTAATCTTTATACCCGATTGCAATACTTGTGTGGCATTTGCATTACCAATGTTTGCATTACCATTTGCATAATTAATGGGTTCTCTCATTATAGTATACTCACTCGCGACCCAATACATGTGACCCCCATATATATTGATAAACATATACGAGTATGAATTGGACAACAATTGGTGTAACCGCCTGTCGGTGCCATCGTATCGGACGCTATGCAACTCATTAATGGTTCTTATAAACCAATCAATCCAATAGATCCGGTGGCCATCGATGTCCAGATTGAGTGTCTGTTCGCGTATACGCTCTGAGGGAACGAGTGTCTGGACGTGTCGTCCGTCTTGTGTCGATCGCATTATACGACTCCTGTAGTGGTTGTCGTCGTAATAGCGATTGAATCGGTTGTTAGGATTGCCAGGACTCGTGTCTATGTATTCACTCCAAAAGAGTAACGCTTCCAACGGATCCACAACAATGTCTTTAGTCACACACTTTTGTTGCCTTACAATAGGGAACAGTTGTCTGGAGGCGGACGTCATGTTCACCGCATATATACCCATATTTTTGCTTAGATGTGTTGACTCACATATGGGCACATATATTATATTGTGGATCCAATCCATGGCAAGTGAGTGATAATTAATGTCAATTGTATAATTAAAGTTAAAATTAGCTTGATTAGTTTTGGGTGTTTGATTAATAAGTTGACTAAACAAATGCCATTTTGTTGTCACACTATTATATGCAATGGATATTAAGTAATTGTTAGCTATATTATAGTCCAGTGAATAAAATGCATCGTTATTTTGATAGACAAACTCTGATTGTGAGTAATATATGGTATGATTGCCATCAGTGGACAGTCGGGCCAAACGTATGTCCCGTTTGTATTCCGTGAGCATCAGTAACGGCTCATCCGTTGCCATCAATAGAGATAATGCAGTGATATTTGCCGTCTGTTTGGGTATGTCTTGAAGTGCGGGAAGTGTTGTGTTATTATCACTACAAGACTGGTTGTGCGGACACAGACACCGATAGCCGTGTTTGCCGTTTGGGACACAAATGTGTTCACAATTAGTGTCTTTGCAATAATCAGTTCCCGATTTCTGTTTCGATAAATGTATTATACATACAAAATCAATATCTCCTTCAGATGTGACCACAGTTTCAATCTCTGAAGACATCATATCATCCGTTAAATCAATTTTAAATATTTGTTTACTTTGAGACCAAAACAAGGATCCGTTGAACACATCCATAGATGAACAGTCGCTGAAGTGTTGTTTTGATTGTTTTAATGTTTTCCTATTGTTTCCCATATAATCAATGGATGACAGAGAAATTAATTCATTATCAATCCATACAATGGTTTGTGTCTTGAAATCAATTGCCAAACAATTTGGTTGTCGTATGTCTTCGTAGACCAGTATCTGTGGATCAGATCCGTCTTCATTGCATTTCCTGATAACTGCCGAACCGTTTGATAAGTGATATTCAGACCAAACAATAAACCCATCGAAAGGGTTGACCACAATCTGACTCGTCGACCAATTTTCATATATTTTAGTTACGGCATGACTTCGGTTGGGATTATTGACATAAATTACATTAATGTAATTATTATTAAAATAAAACACTAGATTATGGATCCAATCGATGGCCAACTTTATAGATAAACGACTTGTACTGACCAAAACACTCGGTGAATCCAATGTCATAATTTGTGTCCCATTGTTGGCCATTTGTATTGTAAAGTTAGCTTTATATATGGAATACGAGTCCAGTCTACTGGCCCACACCATATACCCATCATTTATATCAATGTCCAAAGTATAGCTCGAATGACCTAGGTGCAATGTTTTACTAACATTATCTTGGTCACCCAGTTTGGTGTAACTAATACCATAATTACCAGGGTACACTATTATTGGCGACTCTTTATGTTCCTTATTTTTGGGAATTAATGATAAGATGAACAGTAGTAAGCATCCCACTTTAATCATGGTAACTTTATGTAACTAAATGTAATACTTTTAAGAATAAAATATAATTTAACGTTTAATGCAATTTTAATATTATAATTGGTGTCGTAGTTTCAGTGATGTACATGTAACATGTATATATTAACTCATGTTATGTTAATTTTTAAAGTAAGTTATTAAATGATCATTTAATAAGAGTTTTAGTTAAAAACAGGAAATTAAAATTTAAAATATTTAATTTTAATTGAAGGCAATATTTAAAAGTATACAATGTTCATATGTTTAGTACTTTAAAAATATTTCAATGCTAGACTTTTTGTTTATCAAATTATTCAACATATTTAATGCAAAACTATAAACTAATAAATATTAACTGATATTTTCCCTCTCTCTCTCGATCTTTCTATGTATCTCTCAAACTATTAATATTTACCCATATTTAGCAAAATTAGTCCACATTTTCATTAAATCTGCGCTAAATATGGCGTCCACTGGAGTGTATGCGTCGGGGATTACAAACGGCAACCCATTAACGAATGCAAGTTCAGCGCAATGACAGACACCCATACCCTCCTTATCACAGCCCTGTGTATGAGCTTGATACTTGTTTTGATAAGTGACCTGGTAGAAATATACATTATGACCAGGTTGTTTATTTATGGCAGCTTGTTTAGCAAACAGATATGTCGGACATTTCATTATTAAATCGCCGTATAATTCATAAAACGCTTTCTTGAGCTCAAATGAACTGTTTTTGTCGACATTTTGTAGATAATAGTCGTCCACACGTTTCACATCCAATCCGTGGTAAACACTGTCCGATGTTTTTGTGGCCTCAATAAAGTCATTCAATGATAATTTGTCTTTTAAATTCATCGCATAAATAGCTAACATTGAGCCCTCAGTACTGGCAATACCTGCCATTATATCCACATCTATTGTATTTCGTAAATTAATTTATAAATTATTTATATTTTTATTGTAATATTTTAGGATATTATCTTATTATTGATAATAAATCTAAACCTGAATTATATTTTTTGTTTGCAAATGCGTTTTGTGCAGAAATGGGTAGAAATTCAGTGCCCAATACGGGATATGTCAACGGATTTACATATTTATTGAACACATTTGCATCCAATCCTCGCAAACATTGCAACCAATCCTCACTTTCGCTGCAATTCTGCTCTTTTGCTATCCGTTTGCCTAAAAGTATTGACTCCTCTTTACTAACGATATCCCTATCCTTGTTATACAAATGGGCGCCGCTTTCCATAATAGCCCTTTTAAATAGGCTTTTGGATAGCGGGGAGAGTATGTGTGCGGACACCGACCAACTCCCGGCGCTCTGACCTAATATCGTGATCTGATCCCTATCTCCGCCAAATTTTTCAGCATTTTCTCTGACCTATCATTAATAATTAATTCATTCATAAATTCATATATAGTTTTAATAATTTATAGACATTTCAAATAATATAAGTAATAAATTTATACCCATTTGAGAGCCAATAACTGGTCATAAAAACCTACATTTCCGGGCGCGTCCTCCCGATCCCCGTATAGAAAGCCCAACTGTCCTAATCTATAAGCTGTTGAGACGTAAACCACACCCCGTGTGGCTATCATATTACTATCCAGTCCACCAAATATCGAGCCCACAGATAACCCCCCGCCGTGTATGTGAAACATAATGGGTTTGAGCTGTGATTTGTTTGTGTTATTATTGCCCGCATTTGGTGTCCATATGTTTAATACCAAACAGTCTTCACTTTGGGTTATATTTGGGACACTTAATGGCATAACACAAGAGTTTTTGGGTTTTGTCGCGTCTATAATGTCCTAAAAATTAAAAGGAAATCAATGTTAATTAATGTTTTATTACAAAATTTTATTGATATATTTTACCGGTTTGGGTGTTTTGATGGGTTCAGGTTTGGCGAACCGGAGTCTCTCGACGGGTGGTTCGGCATAAGGTATACCCAAAAACTGGTCAATACTTACGTTCAACACATCTATCGTCTGACCCCTCACTACACCCGATGTTGTCTTCACATCAATACATGCTATGAATTCAACACAAATATATAAAATGAATAATAATTTCCAAATATATTTCATTACTCTCCACATTATAATTATTATTTAATATTTGAATCTGAATTAATATTTATAATAGTGAACTTTTATACTGATTAAACTATGTTTTTCATTTGTTTATATACCTGCTCAAATCTATATCAAGTAATTTAGGTGAATCTTAAACTTTGATCTCCATACTAATAAAGCACTGAAAAACATAATTAACACACTTTTAATCTAATCTAACTAGTTTATTTAGACTATAATAAATAGTTCAATAATACTACAGGTGTATTATTTTGTTCTTTCTTAATCTCAATCGCTCTTTCAATGACACTCTAACCATCCGATGGCTTAAAAATTATAATATAGTATAAATATTGTAAGTTATTAATAATTTTTATTTTTAAAACTCAAACCTATTATATATTAATTGTTATTATATATTGTTTATTTTACAATAATTAACCAAGTTTACCACAAATAATCTAGTAAAAAAATATTATTTGTACATTAACATTAAATTATTTTAATCAATATAAGATTAATATTGTACATATTGATATCATAACAATTTAAGTGTTTTACACTTATCTCAGACGGAATTTATTTTAATCTACAAATAGATTATTATTGAACATAAAGTACTTGTAATCAGCGCTCATATTATTTTAAATAGTGCAGGTACACTATAAAGTATATATATAATTGAACAATAGAACTAATAGATAGACAATAATTTTATTAGATTATTGGAAATATTAATAAATAATAGTACAATATTAATTAAAATGTGGAGCAAAATGAAAAATAGTTTACGAATATTATTTGTATTAATTTTTTGCGTTGAATTCATAGCATGTATTGATGTGAAGACAACATCGGGTGTAGTGAGGGGTCAGACGATAGATGTGTTAAACGTAAGTATTGACCAGTTTTTGGGTATACCTTATGCCGAACCACCCGTCGGGAAACTCCGGTTCGCCAAACCTGAACCCATCAAAACACCCAAACCGGTAAATATAGTAAACATATTATGGTATGTTATTTAATATAAAACTAATAATTATTATTGTTTAGGACATTATCGATGCGACAAAAAATAAAAACTCTTGTATTCAAAATGTGACACCAAATCAAACATTTAGTGAAGACTGTTTGGTATTAAACATATGGACACCAAATGCGGGAAATAATAACACAAACAAATCACAGCTCAAACCCATTATGTTTCACATACACGGCGGCGGTTTATCATCGGGGTCAATATTTGGACAAGTTCTATCTACTAATGTGTTGGCCACTCGTGATGTGGTGTTTGTCTCAACACAGTATAGATTAGGACAGTTGGGCTTTCTATACGGGGATCGGGAGGACGCGCCCGGAAATGTCGGCTTTTATGACCAGCTATTGGCACTCAAATGGGTATAAATTGATTGTTTGTTTTAATTATAATTTCTATTTATTTAATGAAATAATATATGAATTTGTAACATAATAATAGGTTAGAGAAAATGCTGAACAGTTTGGCGGAGATAGGGATCAAATCACGATATTGGGTGAGAGCGCCGGGAGTTGGTCGGTGTCCGCACACATACTCTCCCCGCTATCCAAAGGCCTATTCAAGAGGGCTATTATGGAGAGCGGCGCCCATATGTATAACAAGGAAATCAAATCACGATATTGGGTGAGAGCGCCGGGAGTTGGTCGGTGTCCGCACACATACTCTCCCCGCTATCCAAAGGCCTATTCAAGAGGGCTATTATGGAGAGCGGCGCCCATTTGTATAACAAGGATAGGGATGTCGTCAGTAAAGAGGAGTCAATATCTTTAGGCAAACGGATAGCAAAAGAGCAGAATTGCAGCGAAAGTGAGGATTGGTTGCAATGTTTGCGAGGATTGGATGCAAAAGTGTTCAACAAATATGTAATTCCGATGACATATCCCGTATTGGGCACTGAATTCCTACCCATTTCTGCCCAAAAGGCTTTCGCAGAGAAAAAATACAATTCAGGTATTTGTTATTTAAAAAACTATTTAACAATGAAATGAGTTAATTACACATAATTTATTATATTATTAATTTTATTTAATAGATGTCGATATAATGGCAGGCATTGCCAGTACTGAGGGCTCAATGCTGTCTTTATTTGTGCATCCGTTTAAAGATAAGGTGACTCTCAATGACATTATTGAGGCCACGAAAGCATCGGACAGTGTTTATCACGGATTGGATGTGAAACGTGTGGACGACTATTATCTACAAAATGTCGACAAAAACAGTTCACTTGAGCTCAAGAAAGCGTTTTATGAATTGTTTGGCGATTTAATAATGAAATGTCCGACATATCTGTTTGCCAAACTAGCTGCCTTAAATGGTCAACCTGGTCACAATGTATATTTCTACCAGATCACTTATCAAAACAAATACATGGCTCATACATTGGGCTGTGATAAGGAGGGTATGGGTATCTGTCATGTGGCTGAAATTATATTTGTTAATGGGTTACCGTTTGTAATACCCGAAGCATACACTCCAATGGACGCCATATTTAGCGCAGATGTAATGAAAATGTGGACTAATTTTGCTAAATATGGGTAAATAATTAGTTATTTTTGAGAAAGTACACTAATACAAATTATTATATTTAATTAATTAAACATTTTTCTCAAGCAAACCAACTGTAAGCGAAGAGTGGCCACAATTATTGAGTGGAAATACAATTAATGTGAAAAACCTGAACCCAAACCCAAAACCCAATGTATTTATCAATCCATACGACACTACTTGTGATGGCCTTTGGAAACAATACTTCCTGTAAACAATTTAAGATATTATTTATATATTTTAAACAAATGAAATAAAGTGTTATATAAAATCTCATATTACTGGTATATAATTTTAAATTAAATTATTGATTATTAATTTATTGTGTGTCTGAAGCATTAACAGCCAAAAGTAGGCTTTGCCTATAGACTTTACATTAGTTTTAATGCATTAGTGCTATCTAACTCAGATAATCTGAGTGCTATCTGTGGAAGTCCCTGGTCTGAAGTTTTCAACAATATTTTTATTTTAATTGAATTTAAATTTGTTATAAGTTTTCTTGTAAATTATTTTAAATTTATCATTTCATTAATAGTAAATACAAAATATATCATTAATATTAGTAATATAAATAAAAAATAATATATAACCCACCAAAATAAAAGTTAATTGTAATAGAAATAACAAATTTTTAAATTTAATTTTGTGGTACAGTTTTCTATGGTAATCTAATGATTTTTTAGTAGCATATGATTTGTGACAATTATATTCATCACATTTAAATGGCTTATCATTTAAATGAATGCATTTTATATGATCTGATAATTCAGATTTTGTGTGAAATAACTTTTTGCAATCATTAAAATTACATTTAAATTTACGAATTTTAATGGTATTTTGTTTTGTGATTATATAAATTTGACCATTGGTTAAATCTTTTGTTACAATTATTAAAATTATAAACAAATAGGTTTTCTCCCGAATGAATGCGTTTGTGAAGAATTAAATGTTGTTTTGTTTGAATTTTTTGCTACAATTTTCTTCATTGCATTTGAATTTCCTTTTATTCAAATGAACACAACTTTTGTGTCGAAATAAATTTCCAGAGTTTGTAAAACTTTTATTACAATTATTAAAATCATATTTAAATTGTTTTGGTTTTAAATGTATTATTAATTTAATTGATGGTATAGTCTTATGTGAGCTTTTAAAGACCATATTTGTGTGAAACTTTTGTTACAATCATTGAATTGACAAACAAATTGTTTTTCTCCCGAATGCAAGAGTTTGTGTTGAATTAAGTTATATTTTGTTGTAATTTTTTTGCCACAATTTTCTTCATTACATTTGAATTTTTTTTCTTTCAAATGAACACAACTTTTGTGTCGAAATAAATTATTTTGACAATTAAAGCTTATGTTGCAATCATTGATGTTACAAATAAACGGCTTTTCTCCAGAATGTATGCGTTTGTGTAAAATTAAAGTTTGATTTGTAGTGAATATTTTGCCGCAATTTTCTTCATTACATTTGAATTTACTTTCATTAAAATGAAAACAACTTTTGTGGAGAAATAAATCTCCCTTTCGTGAAAAACTTTTGTGGCATTCATTGAAATCACAAATAAATCTCACTTTTAAATGAATACTATTTTTGTGTCGAATTAAATTTGTATTTCTTACAAAAACTTTATTACAATTATTAAAATCACATTTAAATTGCTTTAATTCTGAATGAATTAATAAATGTTGAGTTAAATGTTTTTTCTTTGTTGTCTTGTATTGACATTTAGGCCAAAAACAGTGCAAATAATCATCAGATTTACTTGAAATGTCAATCAATAAACATAGGTTTTACATCCCATTCCAACAGTTCGTTTAATGTAAAACTG